AATGGTTGTTTTATTATCAATAACATTTTCTTTACTATCAATGATGGCCTCTTCATTAGCGATGACTGTTGTTTCGTCATCGTCACCATTAATAGTAATACTGTCATCAGTTAATAGATCTTTCTCAACATTATTGAAAACAGAATCATACTCTTCGTCAGAACTACTATCATCATCTGAATAATAAACAAACCTTTCTTTCTTAGTTCGATTTTGTTGATCATCTCTGTTTCTGTCAACAGATAATATATCTTCGAAAGGATGATTATCAGAATAAGATCTTTTAGAATTTAATATATATTGCTTAACCATCGTTACCAGATTCTGTTCCAATTGTTTATCAGAAAGATTATCTACTGACGACAGTGGTGGATATTGATCATTAGGCAATTTTTGTTTTTTACGAGGTATATTTTCTATGGTGGAAAAGTATTCATAAGAATTTCGTGAATTCAATTGTTTTGAATCTTGGGCTCCAGACGATAATGATGGTATGCCATTTTCAACTACGTAATTCTGATATTACAAAAATTTTCGTTAACGCAAAATTTTTTCAAAAATAAATAAATAAATAATAAAAATATACGCGTTTTTAAAAAACATACCACGCATTTATCTTGTTTAATATTTACAAATGGTGTTGTAAAATCGGTCAATCCATTAATTGATCCTGATGGCTTAATAATATTTGTGGAAGGTCGTGCTTGAACAAATTGTTGTTGATTTTGATCACTTACTAAACAGCGTTTTCTTGAGCCAATATGCTTAGCAAATTTACAAGCACTTGTAGCATGTAAGCCATTTCCTTCACTAACCGAAGCACGGTTTGTATTAAAAGTACAACGGTTGGATGTCGCGTCACATATGACTGGAGCTGAACTCGAAGAATTAATAGTAATCGATTCATTACCCGATTTGTCAAAGAAAAGATTAGTCTGTGAAGGAGTATTACGAGAAAGTAGAACGTTATCACGAGAAAAATCGAATTGGGATGAATGTAAAGTGTAAGTATCAATTGTGTAAGTAGGCTTTTGCGCTGAGTTTGTTCGTGAGGTATTATT